TTATCTTTCTCTTCTTTAGTAGTGCTTGTTGTATCTTGGACTTGTGAAGAAATATTTTCACCACTATCATCAGCAGCTGTCACAATTGTTGCAAAAATATTTTTACATTCATTCATCATTTTATTTTTTTCTTCAACAATTTGTGTTAAATCAATTGTGTCCATTTTTCCCCTTAAATTATTGTCATCATCTTCTTCAAGCAATGGTACTAACGCACTATTCGTTGTGACGAGTGTTTCCGTCTTTGAAATTACTTCACCGACAGAATTGTCCTGTTGTTGTTGCTGTTGGGACACTTTGAAAAATGGTACCAAAAATAACATTTTTAATAAACAATAACACATGATAAATCACTACAAAAAAATCAACGGGCACCGATCCCCGCTGTGTATACACCAAATACAAACCATTTTAATTTCCATTGCCTGTGGTTGTTACTTTTTTGGTTTTTGGATGAAAGTTTTCAAAGAAGAGAAATACTATGCTCGAGAGCGACAAAACTATTTATGATGATTTAGTTTTATAACTTGATGAAAAAGTATATTACTGCCATCGCAATCTTATACGTAAAAATTAAATAAACATTTATGTGTGTTAGTGGAGAAATAAACTCAAATTTTCTTGATACCCGTTCTGCGTTGTTAATGATAATTAAACAAAAAAAAAACAAGAAGCTCTTTCTTACTCATACCCGCCGTGTTGCTTGCACCGTCCGTTTCCATTTTATCATTCTCATTCTAAACAAAAAAAAGAACTATTTCTGCAGAAACTAATAGTTTTAAGAGTGATTTACCGTTGCTTCTGATGTTATTGTATCAACACTGTTTGTGTCTTGTATAACACTCTCGTCGCTCAGCTATAAAGACACGAGAAAAACATAATTAAGAAAAGTATGAAATTACAATATCTTCTCATACATACCTTACTATAGTCGTCTGGTGAAACTTTTGATTCAGTGGGCATTTCAAATAAAAATGTTTCTGGATCTTGATGATGACTTATCAAAGCCTAAAAGGAAAGGAAATCCAGTCTTATGTTTTCCTCAAAAGCAGAGCCCGAATCAAACTTACTTGTCTCAGTTTCTCTACTAACGAAACTTTTAATTCTTTTTTATCAAATAAAATATCGTAAGATTTTAATTCACGTTGTAAATCAATAACACGAAGTTCACTTAGTTTTCTAGTTCTCGTCGTACTCATCCTTCTACCTGTAGATATTCACAATAAACCATAGCAAATAAAATGGATCTAAAAACAAAAATCAATAGTGAAGCAGTGTTGTTAACGATAAATCTACACAAAAACACGAAAGTGTAATCAGTCTCGAAGCAGCGAGGTTACGTGTTAAGATGTAACGCCAGATCGTCATGCGATACTGTTGGCGACATTCCGAACTGAACTTTCTGTTGCAACCTAAGTATTCGTGAACCAGGGTTGCCAAACGCAGCGCTAGTATCAATGCGTTTTTCTGATTTTTTTCAGAAAAACACATTGATACTAGCACTGCGTTTGGCAACCCTGTCATGAACATTCTGGCTGAAGCACTATCTGTGTATTGACAGTCAAAGTTTGATAAGTTTCATCTTCCCATCCTACTTTACTTAGTATAAACCATGTCTCCCCTGCCATCTACCAATCGCAAGAAAGTCGTCGAGGTCCCCCAACAACACTCTTACATGGTTATCACGCATCACTTAACCCCACATTTGTCATCCGATCGTGTTGGCGAGATTCCGTATTGAAGTTTCTGTTGTTCCTGGGATATTCGCAATAAGCCATAACGAATAAAATGGATGTAATAATATAAACGAATGCGGAAGCAGGGTGCTACGTGCCATATCGATAGAAAATGCAAAAGGTCTCAATTAGTGAGACAGAAAAAATCTAGTTACTCGCTATTTCTGCAAAACGAAGATAAGTGAGTGACAGAAGGATTGATTTCGTAGAATGGGTTTTCGGTAATAAATATATTTCTTTGTAATTCAGTGATGAGTGATA